TTTACATCAAATTCAAATATGTTCATTTTGTTTCTTTTCAGCTTCATAAGAAAGGGAGACAAGACTGAACAGTTGATCTTACACACTATTTCTGCTTCTGAGGATGAATGAGAAATGTCTGTTTATTTAAGTGCAAGGACTCCATTGGCTGTGTTAGCCTGTGTCCCTACTGATAGAATCAGAAGTTGTAAGTTCAATTGCTCCTACATTTTCCAGTCTATTTTGATAGCTCTTTAGAATATCAGTGAATTTTTTTAAACTGGCTTATTATAAACCTTTAAATAACCATTTTCTACTTCACATTCTAAATTGTTATATTCCTAGGAATAGTTGATGAACTGCCTCCCAGATACCTCCTCATTGTTAATTAATGCAAATTGCTGATTAGAAAGAGAATTTACCCTAAAGCTGATAATTTTAAGGGGAAAGCCTGCTGGTAACGCTGGCAGGGGTGCTAGGGGCAGTACCTGGGGGCCGACTGCTCCATCTAGAGCCAGCCTTCGGCCCTGCAGGCTTGATTTATAACCTCTCAAGTAAAGACTCATGTTAGACACACTCTTGGAGACTAATTTGGGAGATCAGATACCAATTTATTGATCGTTTATAAAAATATAACATATACTTATCAATAATTTCCTCTATAGGTAAATTTCCACTTAAGGCCAAATTTCAATCAGAAGAGAAAATGATACTAATGGCTAGTGTCATCAATCTATAATACCTGATACACCAGCTCCATTTTAGGCTTTTATATCTTTTACATTGCTGATGACCAGCTATGACTGATACCAGTTGTGCTTTTTTTTTTTCTCACATAGGATAAAACATCCAATCAGATTACAGTCAAGTATTGTTGGGCAAGGATGTATTTCTTATCCTCATGTTGCTCTTGCATCATGGATGAAATTATGCTGCATAAGCTTTTTAAATAGTTTACTCCAGGGTTTAGCTATATTTTTTTCTTCTCATAGTTGGAGGAACATCAGCTGAACAACAGCTGCTTGAGAACAGAAATCTTATCTGTCTCATTCACAACTGTACCCAGAGCCTAGAACAGTGCCTGTAACATAGTAAGCACTAACAATAGTAGAATGAAAAAAAATGGATGTCTCAAGGTCTTCCTACACTGCACAAATGTTATTAGAAAAAAAGAATATATGCTAAGAACCCATGGATTATCCCCCTTCTTGAGAATATCAAAGGAACTTGCTCACAAACCCCTTGCCTTTGACCCACCAATTTAAATTAGATGTCCCCACCCCCACCCACCACTTTATTATTCCTCTCATCTTTGTTTTCCTTCAGCATTTTCACAGCTGGTAGTTTGCAGTTTATTTATTTATGGTCTGAATTCTGAGCTCCAAGGGGCAGCTGTGTCTATTTTATATACAGACAATACCTACAGCCCACCTGTACGCTTTGAGCTTCATGATATTTAATGAAATTCACCTTGAAATTTATGAGCCAGAGCTACCTTGAAGTCATAGAAGGAATAACTAACGATATGGGGACTTTGGATATCAGGGTGGTTGGGTGATGAGTTATATTGGACAGCAGGCAACTGTCATCCCAACACCCCAAAATCACACCCGATGGGACTTGCTGCTCACAGGCAGACCAGGGATCATCGGTGTTCCCCAGGCTATCTGTAGCAGGAAGAAGCAAGAAAACAGTTTAAGTTCATGTTCATTTTTCAATTTGAAAGTTCAGATTAATTCATTATATTTTATAGAAATCTAGTTGCCTACTTAATTATCACTATGTTCCTAGAAGTTGTTCATCTCAGCGAACATTCAGTTAATGGTTCACTTGGCCTTGACTATTGAATTTTATATATAGAAATGCTACTTACATCTGTCAATTTTACATTTTTTACTGTGTGTTAGGATAGCCAATTCAGAGAAATAAATCAGGTGCTTACAGGTAGTTAAGTAAAGTGTAAAATGGTCATGTGACTACCACAGATCAACACTGTAAATGTAAACCGTGAACAGGAGTCCATTGTAGATATTGAATGTGAAGCTGTGTGCTAGACCCAGTGAATCCTGATGAATATGTGAAAATTGGATTTTATCAGACCAGCAATCAATTTGCCTCTAGTTTCTATTGCATTGTCTCTTACAAAACTTTGTTAAAGAATGGCAGGAAGCCACTGGAGCTTTTGCATTGCTTTCAAAGGACCGTGACCTTTCTGATAAACCAATTGAGTTTTTCCTGAACAAGCAAAAAATAATGCTTCCTAATATGAAATTGATAAATGTTTAAAGGTGGAGAAGAGACCAAAACTAAAGAAACACTAGTCAAAGTTGTGCACGTGCGTGCACACACACACGCACGCACACACACACACAATAGAAGTCACACTATTGCTAAAAGTTTATAAATCCAGCTATAAGGTTAATGAATAATTACCATGCTCAGGAAGAAACTTTAGCCACTAGGAGTTCCATAATCAATGTGGACTGTTGTACATCATATAATATTAATGGCATACAGCACAGAAGGGCAATGTCTATCATGCGTGCATGCTAGCAGATATTTGGCTTACATTTGGAAAGAATCACAGATGTGCACAGTATCAGTCCACACTTGGCAGAAATGTGCAGAAATATACGATAGGGAAATGCTCAGTCACTTACTGGTGAGTTTGTGGCTCCACCCCCATGCTAAAGGAGATTTCCCCCGAGTCAGCAATTATTTTCTGAGTCATGATGTAGGCTGCAAAGACCGACAGCAAAAGTAATGCATGCAATGAGGGAGTATTTACTTATTTGGAAAAAATCCTTGTCCCCTTTCCCATGGTTTCATCATCCCCAGAACATGGTTGGTGAAAGTAGTTTATATGTTCAAACTGTGGTCAACAAGCGAGTGTTTATCTTTGACGCATGCTTTGTGAAGAATCTGGCAGTAAGAACAAGCCTTCTAGTCCACACAGAAGTAAACTGTTTATCGAGGTGAAAGTGTTTAACAAGCTTTGAAAATTAGGGATGAGATAAAAGCATTTCTTCATGACACTAGCGAAGCCAAATTTTTAAAAAGTCATTTTTTCAAGTAGCATATTTCAATGATTATATTCTATATTTTAGTAGCCTCTGTCTATCATGTCGAAGTATAAATTTTATTATTTTAAATATTGTGGCTATTGGAATTTCTTAAGACAAACTATGGTTTAAATATATTAATCAACAAATTTGATTTTAACACTTGATTTTTTATTCATTGTGGAAACCCAAGTCATTATGGAATGTACTTCTATGTCATGTCCCCTTCCCCCCCCCAAAAAAAAAAAATAAACAGAAGAAATGAATACAAATGCTGTCCCCAAAACTGGAGAAGCGCTTTCCAAAGCCAATGAAATCAAAATGGAGTAGGACCCCATTTACATCATCTCTGAGGTTGAAACAGAGCACATTCCACATATTGTGATATGTACATATTTTTTAACCTAGAGCCTGACTTAGTGCTGAGAAAGAACTAACTCTGATGACCAATGATCATGATTAAGACTTTCTATTTCAGTAGGAGAAGAAACTGACTGGATGTGACATGGGCTCTTACCCATGCCTCAAGCTGTCTATCTCTTGGGGTTACAGAAACCTTGGTGAAAGATTACAAACAGCACCATCTCTTTCACAGATATGAAGTATTAATAATTATTATTAATTGAAAACTATTTTGTTTTGGAGGAACCTGGAAAACATTATGCTAGGTGAAATAAGGCTGACACAAAAGGACAAATATTGTATGATTCCACTTATGTGAATTAACCTAGGATACTCAACTTCATAGAGACAGAGAGTAAAATACAATTTCCCAGGGAGGTGAGGGTTGGGTACAGTCTTGAAGGACTGAGCCCTTAACCTGTGGGATCTGACTCCTTCTCCAGGTAGTATCAGAATGCACTTAAATTATAGGACAGTATCCGAGAATTGCTCAGTGGTCGGGGAAACCCTACACATTAGAGCTGGTATCAGAATGAAAGGAACCCTTTATTATTTTTTGCTTCTTACTCATGTTTTATGTGATCACAGAAGTTTAGCAGTGGCTCAGTTGCTGCCAAATTGATCTTAACACTTTTTGTTATATTAAAGCAACATTTATTATTCTTCTTATTAGAAAATACAGTCAGCTAAAAGAGTAAAACAAAACACCCATGATCCTACTGCCTAGGGTAATCACTGTCAATAACTTCTAGATATCAATTCAGCTTCCTTTTTTCCCTTTTTAAAAAATATATTTTTATTGATTTCAGAGGAAGGGAGAGGGAGAGAGAAACATCAATGATGAGAGAGAATCATTGATCAGTTGCCTCCTGCACGCCCCGCACTGGGGATCGAACCCACAACCGGGGCATGTGCCCTGACCAGGAATCAAGCCAGGACTTCCAGGTTCATAGGTCAACACTCAACCACTGAGTCATGCCAGTTGGACTGTTCTTTTCTTATTATAAATATATACACATTTATTTACTACAAAGAGGCCATTCAGTACGCATTGCTTTTTTTAATCTAATTTTAAGTTGTCTACCACAAACTTCTTCCCATGCCAATAAGTATTCATTCACAGTGTAATTTTTAATAGCTAAAAATTACATATTTGTAAATATGCATGTATAATATTAAAAAGCAGTCCTGAATTATTGGCATAGACTTTGCAGGTTCAGGAAATACGTCAGTGTCTTCATTTCATCTCTTCTACATTAATATAATTTTTCAAAAAGGATTTGGTCAGCCTTTCCTAATCCCTCCACAGCTGCATTTTGAATCTTTAGATGTAGCCACAGCTGATCAAGGCTATGTGTGTCGTTAACATATTTGCCTGTAATACATATAGTTCCTAGACGAATCCTGAAAAACTACTATAATTTCTAGCCACCTGTTAGCCACTCATGTGTGTTTATTTATTCGTTGACTGTTGTCTCATTGTGTGTTCTGGACTATAAATGGTGGTTACCAACTGGAATGCAAAGTTTAATATAGAAAATGGGGAAGGCACAAAACTTCTTCCAAGAAAGGAATTTGACTTTTAATTGAAATCTGTAGAGAACACCACTCTTTTCCACAGATGATGCAACCTAAGTATTTCCATGTGCCTCCCACAACCCTATTTGTAATGAGGTTCCTATATCAAAGGCCCTTGGAGATCAAAAGGGGTTGAGGGCTGCATTCTGCTGGCAGAACCACTGTTCCTTGGGGAGGAAAGAACCTGTTGGTGAAAGGGAGACATTTCTCCCTGACCCCAGTGAGGCTCCCCCCGACCCCCACCCTAGCCTGTTGATCATGTCTCCTGACTGCCTCAGTATCATCCAAAGTAGAGCAGCATTTCCTGTGAGATTAGCTAAACAACACCTGAGTTCTCACCCTGTCCATGATGAGAGGGACTGCTCCTCTAGTGAAATAACAAACTCCCTTATATTTGAGGACCAAGTGGGTCACTGGTGCAAAGCTCCTAAAGGCTGGAGAGTTTAATTCAAAGGAGGAATTAAAAGTATGAATATAATCAAGGATACTTATGAAATTAGAATAAAAGATGGATGTGTATATTTTTATTTTTTAAGTATATAGGCAATTGATTTACTTAGAGGAATGACTGTTTCCAAACCATACCCATTTCTAGTCAAGTACAAGAATAATCACAAGCAGGAAAACAAAGGATTGAAGATGACACACTTTGAGGAAAGGAGCTGGCAAAATTCTTACATCTATGTTGGTTTAGTGATCACGTATACGGTTCCCCTGTCAATTTGTCAACTCACTCAGACCATTTCTAAGGATATTTATATGGACTTAGAAAAGAGACCTTGTGTTTTTCCCAAAGAGGGCTTTGTTAAAAATAAATAAACTATACACTCTGAGATATACTAGCTAAAAGAAGATAGTATATCCATAAAATAAGAATAGAATCCTATAAAAAGAGAAACAGCCAAGAAACAATAGTTCTTGGAAATTGAAACATGCTATCTGAAATAAAGCATTCAACTAAAGGAATGGATGATAAAGATGAATACATCTCATCAAAAAAAAAAATCTGTATTGGTTTCCTATTGCCACTGTAACAAGTTATCACAGATGTAGTGTCTTAAAGCAACACAAATTTATTGTCTTAACAGTTCTGGAGGTGAGAAGCCCAACATGGGTCTTCCTGACAAAGAAAAGATCCCAAAAGCTTTCAGTGGAAAAAAAACAACAACAACAGGTCATAAAAAACTAATAGGCTGGCATCAGTTTTTCACCAGCAATCCTACATAACAAGAAATAATTCTATCAGTGCCTTCAAAGTTTTTGGCACAAATTATATTCAACCTGGAATTCTGTGCCCAAATTATCCCTCAAGGAGGACAGCAAAACATAAAACATTTTTTCAAAGTTAACCTTCATTTTTTATAATATATTTTTATTGATTTCAGAGAGGAAATAGAGGGAGAGAGAGAAACATCAATAATGAGAGACATTGATTGGTTGCCTCCTCACGCCCCCTACTGGGGATTCTGCAACCCCAGCATGTGCCCTGGCCAGGAAACGAACCACTACTTCCTGGTTCATGGGTTGATGCTCAACCACTGAGCAACATCAGCCAGGCTAACCTTCATTTTTTAATTTATTTATATTTTTTGTTAATTCTCACCTGAGGATATTTTTCCATTGATTTTTCAGAGAGAGTGGAAGGGAGGGGGAGAGGCAGAGAGAGAGAAACATCAGTGTGAGAGAGACACATCAATTGGTTGCCTCCCACATGTGCTCCAAATAGGCCTGGGCATTGAGCCTGCAACCAAGGTACACTCCCTTGACCAGAATCCAACCCAGAATAGAACCTGGGAGCCTTCAGTCCCCAGGCCGACGCTCTATCCACTGAGCCAAACCAGCTAGGACTAACCTTCATTTTTTTTAAAGGAAGTAACTTTTAGCTGTACTCTGACAAAATGAGGACCTAAACCAACAAAGAGGACGATATAGAATCCAGAAAACATAAGTTCGATCTATGAGAGCAGTGAAGGTAAAGTCCTGGGAGTGTGCCTGTTCAGACCTAGAGAGTGACTTCTGTGGATTGGAGGGGAAGGGGAACAGCTCCATGAGGGAGGGCTCCAGGAAAAAAAAAGCGGGGGTGGGGGGGAGATTTGGTATACTAAATAGTATGATGAAGACATGGTAAAAGTTGAAAATGTAATAAAGGGACAGAAGGGTTGAAGGAGAAAATCAGAACCAGTTAGAGATGATAGAAGATAGGTAGGTAGGTAGGTAGGTAGGTAGATGATACATAGATAGATAGATAGATAGATAGATAGATAGATAGATGATAGATAGATAGGATGATTGCTTTGTTACAAGGAATTGGCTGGCTCACATGACTATGGGGGCTGACTGCAAATCCGAAATCCATAGGCAAGGTTCTCAGAAAGAGCAGGTGATGGCAGGCTTGACCCCACAGGCACAGGCTCAAGCTGCAATATACAGGAGAATTTCTTCTTTTTCTTGGAGGAAAACTTCAGCCCACCCAGTTTAATCGGCCCTACTTAGAATCAGCTGATTAGGGACTGTAACTAAATCTTCAAAATCCCTTTACAATCCCTTTACAGCAGCACTAGAGTTTAGGAGCAGGACTCTAGCCTAGCAAGTTGACATATCAAAAAACTCATTACATGCATCCAAAGAAAAGGAATCAGAAACTACAAGAAAAAAAAATCCCATTATCAGGAAGTTGGGGTCCAAATAAAAAGGAAACTAAAGTTAAATGTGATTTTGGTGACATGGAAGAGCCCACAACAGGAGAATCCATTTAAACTTTACTCTCAAATCATCTTCCATTGGGGGACACAGCTGTGATCATGGAACCACAGAGGAGGCTGGGCGATCCGAGCTCACCACCTGGCTCTAGTCTAGATCAATGGTTCTCAACCTCGGCTGCACATTAGAATCACCTGGGAATCTTTTTAAAATCCTGATTTCTGGGCCTCATCCTCCGGAAATTCTGTTTCTTTGTTACTAATGTTGTGGCCTCGCCCCATAACAAAGAAACAGAATTTCCGGAGGATGAGGCCCAGAAATCAGGATTTTAAAAAAGATTCTCAGGTGATTCTAATGTGCAGCCAAGGTTGAGAATCACTGCTCTAGATAGATACCATTTACAGATTTATGATCATATAAATGGTGTCTATTGACTTGGAATATTTAGAATCAACCTGTGGGCCAATCACAGGAGACCTGACTCTGGAATACAGTGTAAATGCCAGAAACTCCAACATTATACACACAGAGGTTCAGGCCACAAGGTTGGGAGAAGTTGAGGGCAAACTGACGGAAGCAGGAATCCCAGGGAAGAGGCGAGAAGGGGATGTCACAGGAGGGAATCAACAAATGAGGCCTAAAATAGATAAATCAAGAAACAGAAGTAGAAGCTTGTTGTTTAGAGCTATGGAGATGGCAACCAAAACAAACCCAAAAACCACAGATGGAACAATGGTTGCCTCAGGGCAGCAAAATTAAGAAAGGGAAGAGCAGAGTCCGGGATTTTTGCTTTGTAATTTTTATGACTGTCTCTATTCTTTAGCTGTTCATTAATCATGTGCATGTTGCCTTTGTAAAAAAGTTAAACAATTGATCTGTAAGCAAACATCTTAAAAACAAAGGACCCTGTGAGAGATGTAAAAGATGGAAGTTAGACAAAAGAGAGCAATGTAGGAATCATGTTATTTCCAATGAGAATGCAGGATTACCACCCAGTCTTCTGCCTGTGTTCTCAATGAAGCCCGCAGGGTTGGGGTTTGTGGGCCAACGATCAGCATGGTAGTACACACAGCTGGCTTGGAGATTGGGGAAGAACGGTGGAAAATGGGTGAAGAATAATGTAATTACAGAACAACCAACTCCTAATCAATATCACAGGGCATTTCTCCAATTGCCTGGCACCCAATTGTCCACCCACACATACAGACTAATCTGTTCAGATGAAACAGCGACTTGGCAACCGTGTGAAGGAGCCTGGGGAAAGGGGGCCTTTGGCCAGTGACCCCAGTTCTATTAGGATGTAACTGCACACTGCAGGTGATTAAGGCTCTTGGAACAGTCCCAGGTTTCACTTCCTCGTCGCCATTTCCTGGCAGCCCTAGATAGTTGAAGTCATGACTCTTGCCAGGAGCCATTCTCAACAAACATTAGCTGAATAAATGCTCACATACATGAATGAATGACTGGCAGCGAGAGGAATATGCTTCCAAGGGGAGCGTGGAGCGGCGGGGCAGCCAGCGGGTACCTTGGGTATCTTTGCAGGTGCAGGATGGGCTGAGGAGGGTCCAGTGAGAGAGTGGGGAGTGGAGGGCAGACAGCAGGAAGCTGGCTGCCCCTCCCACTCTTCCATGTCCTCTTTTGCCATCAGCTCTGAACTCCTGCTGCTCCTCTGCCCTGTGTTGCTTTGCCCTTGGTCTGGGCTTTCCTGTATCCTTCATGCCCCCTCCTGCTCCCTGGGTTCTGTTCTGCATCGGCCGTGTACCTGCATTTGTCCCTACTGTGTACACAGCGCCAATGCTTTATTTCTCCACATTTACATCATGTGCCTATCATTTTCCCTCTGGCCTTGCTTCCTCTGTACGAGTCAGTCTTTTTTAGGAAATCCTAGAGAGGGACAGGTCTCCACCTGCCCGCCGCCCTCCCTCCCCACCTCCAACTCAGTCTCATAATGATAGTGGTACCTTCCATTGAGCTCTTCTGCCACTGGGAGCTTCCTCCCCTCTCCCCGCCAGTGAACACTCCGAATGAGACTTTCAGCAACAATCCCAAGCTCTGAGTAGAACCACCATCACCAGGGGCAGCTGTGCGGCCTGGGAAGCACCTCCTGCTCTCCTTGGGTATTTATTATTCAAGAGCCGAGAAAACACTCCTGATGATAGACTGTTCCTGTCCCCTTTGTCAGCAAGTGCATGAAGGCGGGAACCGAAGAGGGACGAGTTCCACCAGAAACAGAAACAGAAACAGCCCCTCTTTCTCACTCTTCCAAACCAAAGGGCCTGAGAAGCATAAACATGGAGTCGAAACAAGAATTTTCCAGGGAACTCAGTCATTTCCAACAGAGAAAACAACGTTACAAAGTACATAGTCCTGTTAAAGAAGTTCAGTAACTTGGCTGATGTATACATAAAGCAAGCCATGACAATTTTCGAAACGAAGAACCTACAAAACTGCCATTTTAAAAGCTCCAGCACAGCGCAGTAATTTTATTCTAAAATGTGCATTCTGACCTGCAGGACAAATTTAAACTAAATTCAAAGGTGTCTCCGGAGTGTGTGTGGAGCAAAAAATGAAAAGTATCCAATAGCACTTAATCGTAGCAGTTACGTAATCTGGTGTAAAATGGAGATCAAATGCAA